TGTCTCTCAAAGATGAATAAATGTTAAAAAAAAAATTAAAAAAAGAAAATACACTCTTCTAGTACTAAGACAAAAGCTGCAAAGGTGATCTGTGACAGAGAAGTCACGTCTCCCTGCAAATATTCACACACCCCCTCACATGTGGAACGGCCAGCGTGTAACGTGTAGAAAGTTCGTGCGGTTTGCGGAGCACAACCGTGTAAGTTCTTTCCGCTTCCGTTATTTATAAATGCTCAATGCCAGCAGCCAATAGGAAATGGGAACTTCTTTCTTGCTGGGAAGTTCACATGCCTGGGGTCAGCTACGGGCATAGCCCAGGCCTCGCAGGAATGCCGGGGGCCCAAAGTCCCCACCTCCCCAAGCCTCTGAGAGCCCCCACAAACCCACCACCGCTCCAGATGCATCGCCTGTAACCGCTCCGGGTCCTTTGGTGGGAACATGGTGGGCCGGATCTGGGTGTGTCTGCCGTGAGGAACAGCCTCCCACTCTGAAAACCACTGTCCATCTTTTGTCATCACCTACGGACACGATGGCGGAAGTCTGCATTACCAGCACTGTCCAACGGTAAGAAATCACACGGTGCCAATGTAAATGGTGTCCACACGATAAATGGCGAGTCTCATTTCTCTCCGAAGCTGAGACTGCGTGTGCATGTAAAACTGCGATAATCTCGTGATCCGTAAAACACGATGATCATTTTATAAAACAGCATTTTCCGTGTAGATTTTTTTTTTTTTAACAAGCCTCAGAGTGTTTCTGGTTTAAAACTGAAAAGTAAATTGTTTCATATTGGAAATGAAGCTTGAACCCCAGCCAATAATAAAAATAAAGCACAGCTACACTTACAGGGATAAGAATAAATAGCTGATTTCTAACTGCAGAATAAAGACAGGGAAACTTTTCCACTGCCAGAGAAAAATACTTGTATAATCGTGTACCATTTGTCATTATATCTAGTTTTGAAGTTAATTCTACATCAAAACTGACCGCGTCACTAAAAGCAGCGTTTATGGAAGTCACCCAAATATGGACGCTCTCAAAGCGCCTGCTTGCTCAGCGGTACGTGCTCCCACAACCAGGCTCCTCCCAGAAACATCACCTTCCACTGTGTGATTCCAGGCATCCATTTCAGTCCCGGCAGCTCGGAAGACACGTCAGCGAGCTCCAAGGCACCTGGGGACCAAAAATAAAACCTTTTCACCTTATACCCAAAGAAGCCGGACGCACGAGATCACACACCGTGTGATTTATTTCTACAAAATGCCCAGGGAGGGCAATTCCATACACACAGCACCTCAGTGGGTCAGGGGTGCAGGCACTTTGAGCATTGACCTGTGGGCAGCTCTCCGTGGGGGGGGGGGGGCAGGGGACCGAAGCGGCGGGGACGGACCGCGGGGAGGACTATCGTAATGAGGTCACTAGTGATACCCGCAGAGACTGGTGTGCATCACAGCAAAACAAGCTGACGGCAGCAGGTCCGCCCGTGTCCCAGGGGAGCCCACGGCAACCGTGCCCGCTCCACCCCCGGCTTCTAGACACACACACGCCAGTTAGAGGACACGGTCTTCGTGCCCTAGTGTCTAACACACACCCCAGAACCAGAAAGCAACATATAAAGGGAACTGTGAACATCTGTAAACGTTCTGTGTCAGGCCCAAGCCAATTTCCTAAAAATGCCCAGCAAGGCATCGGTCCAGCTTTGAGGACATCGTGTCTACGGTAACATTACAAGAGGTTGTAAGATGGGGCCATTCCGGGGATCCTTTCAAATAAACCTCCATCCACAGATCGTGGATACAGACTGGACAGCCTCACAGAAAGGGAACGTCCAACAAAGCTCCACGGAAGCTGTGAAAACGCACATGATCGTAAAAACGAAGCAAAAGAATCCTCAAGGCCGAGGTGGAACGGTACGAAACCCCCCACAAGAGCACGGCCGTGACTTCTACTACGCTATCTGAATATTCTTACTTTGTTAAAAGCAAACACCAAATTCTAGTGCAGGTTTGAGGAAACCAAACATAACACACAAAATTCCAATCGAGAGGACTCCGAAGGGGTGAACAACTAAGGGCAGACTCCACGGCACGGGTCAACCGGGCACTGAGAACGAGGTAACTGGAAGCCTAGACAGTTGGCTTTCAGTCAGGTTTCAAGCTACGTCATACACGTGCATGTGGTAAGTTCGGAAGTGTCTTAATCTGGATCGTAGTTAGTTTGAAACTCCTCGTTATTTCCTTTAAGGACAAGATGACGGGAAAAGCTAACATTTCAGTAAAGGCTTACACAAAGGAAGAAATATTTTACGACAAAACGTTGTGAAAACTGGTTTAAAAACGTTTTAGGCACCTGTCCAGTTTGTTCGTATCCAGCAGTGTGGTAAGACCTCACACCCGTTAGGACGCCTACCGCCACAAACACGGAAAATAACAAGGGCTGGTGAGGACGTGGAGAAGTCAGGATCTGTGCACTGTCGGCGGGAATGCCCTCCAAACTGAGCAGTGAATCATCATCATCCAGCAATTCCAGAAGACACTCACCAAGAAAACTGAAAGCAGGGTCCTGAGCTGCGTGTACAGCTGGGGTCACAGACGCACTATTCCCAACAGCTAAACCGAGGAAGCAACTCGCGTCCATGGACAGATGAATGGGGTCAACAAAATGTGGTGTAGGCCTGACGTGGGAGATGTTCAGCCTTGAAGGCTGAAGGAAGGGAATTCTGTCACCTGCTACAGCGTGGATGAACCCCGAGGACAGTGTGCTGGGTGAGCTACGCCAGTCACAGATACAGCATGATCCCACAGGGAGATCCCTAGCGATCCCTAGACAGACTCGAGACAGCAAACAGGAAAGTGGGGACTGGTTTCACGGGTCCATAATTCCAGTTTTGCAAGACCAAGAGCTCTGGAGACCGGCTACGCGACAGCGTGTTCCTAATGCGACGGAAACGTAGGCTTTAAAACAGTTAAGGTGGTAAAACTCCAAGTTGCGAGTGTTTTACCACAACTACAATTCTTTCAAAAAAACCATCGTGGTAAGGACGGACATCGTCTTTCAAACTCGAGAGATAACGAAACATACGAAACAGACAATCCTCGAAATTCATTAACTGCGACACATCCGCCACATAAGCGTGTTTTTAAGTCAGGGCACCTCACCGTAGGGTTTAGAGTCTAATTTAGCAAACGCCCAGGGAAAGGTCCACGAGAATATAGACTCTTACCTTCACTTTTCTCCAGCAAAGACGCTATGACCGCCTCGTCTTCGATGGGGTTCAGCGAGCACGTGGAGTACACCATGCGACCGCCCTCCACCAGCTGCTCAGCACCGCGCGTGGCGATCCGCAGCTGTAAGCTAAGGGTGGACACCAGGTCACCCTGGGACCGAACGTGTCCGTGCGGCCCACAGAGCACAGGCACCTACCATACCACGTGTTCATTACACATTGTCATGACAGACTTACGACAAATTACAAAACAACCCTGAGGAAAAGAACTCTTTAAGGCTGCAAATGAAGTTAGAGTAAACCCACAGGAGGTGGTTCGTGTTCACCAAATCAGCATGTGTCCATATAAACAACACGTATGCTATTCTGTTAGCCTTTCCCAACATGCCAACGAGCAAAGCACGAAGCTAATGACTGAAAGCAACATATTACGGGAGTTTCACTGTGAAGAGGCCTCCGTACCTGTGCAGATATGTGACTTTTCTTTCTACGAACAACTCATAACCCTTAGCACTTTCTAATCCTAATACCCACTTCACAAAAGCGATAAACTATTTAACAGAGAAACCATCTCCCGCCGGCATTATTTACGGTGAATACTCATTAGGACACTGCAGACCGCCCACAAGTCTACAATTACGAATGTGTAATTTTAATGTTAAAAGGAAAAAAGGACATAGTCCTGTAGACAATATAATCCAAACTGGTGTGGCTAACATCCCTACACACAGAAAAACCACTGAAAGGCGTTAGACATTACAGAAGTTATCTTTGACTTATGAGATGTTCTTTTTCCTTCTACTTTTAAGGATTTTTCCAAATTTTCTTTAAAGACAGTCAATAAATATTTGAGATCAAAACGTTAAGCAAAATAATTCAACACAAAAGAACAGAAAGCAGAGAGAAGATGAGTGAGACACTAAGTTAGGTTATTTTGTGGAAAACAGAGGTTTGAAATGTTACAGGAAATGGTCCCAAAAAGCATTTTAAACAAATGTGTACCTGAAATGCATATGGTCTTCAGTTTACTACTCCGAAAATGTTCCAAAAACAACCGCTTCTGATACGTAAGCAAACTCTCTCGAAGATGACCATTAATTGGCCCTTAGAGTCCGGTGAACTCAAGATCCGGGCACCGAGTTACGAAACTGGGCGATAACCCTTCCCGACCCTGCCTGTGGGACGCCGGACTCACCCGTGCAGCTGCAAGCTGTTCAAGGTCGTCCACTTTTTCCAAACATCAATGTTTTTTCTCATAGTGCCATCCCCACTGGAAAGGAAGGTATTTAAGAACTTACAGGTCTGTTCAGGTAGACGATTCGAATTTATCAATTATGTCCTATTCCAGCTAAATTACAAAACAGGTTGTTGTTATTATAAACACCAACCAGAACAGCTAAACTCTCACAGACTACAATCAACTTTCTATTTCTGCTTTCGGGGCCACTCTAATTACATTAAACTTTTAAGTTATACTTGAATTTGCAATTAAGTAAGGAAATAACAGATTTGAACAGAAAACCTCATTCAAAACTTAAAGAGGTAAACATACGCTTCCGTGTGACAGAAATACTAGCAAAACTAATTTTGAGACCAGGACATGGAACCGTGAATATACAGAAGACGTGTGGATCCTGTTACTTAACAATTCGGTGAATCAACGGTGGCATTTTAATCAGATTTACATGAATAACAACAAACTTACACTCACAGGGATTTTCCACAGTGGATTCAATTAAGCCAATGGAACTTCTTTATCAAGAGCTTTCTGCGCAGCAGTTAAATATTTTTGATTTTCTACTTTTATTTAATAGAAATGACTTCTATGTTAATTTTACAATACAGACCTGATGAACTAATCTTTCTGTCCACATCTAACTTTATCTACCCATTTTTTCCCAGGATAATTCCTGGAGCTGCTGGCTTTCTGTGTAAAGTTGAATCTCCCTTGGACATCTAGGTATCTGTCTTGAGAGGAAGGGGCTGCGGGGAGAAAACATCCCGAGAGATCTAATGGCTTTCAAATGACATCCCTTGCCTGCACAGTGGTGGCTTCAAATTCTGCCGTAATGTTTAGAGATTTCCTCAGCTTACGCCTCAGTGCTCAGGTTACCACATTCTCCTAAGATGACACGAGACAGGAATTCTAGGTTTCTTTTCTTTCTTTTTTTAATGTTTATTTATTATTAACAGACAGAGAGTGAACAGGGGAGGGGCAGAGAGAGAGGGAGACAAAGAATCCGAAGCAGGATCCAGGCTCCATGCTGTCAGCACAGAGCCCGATGCGGGGCTCGAACTCAGAGACCGCAAGATCATGACCTGAGCCAAAGTTGGACGCTTAACTGACTGAGCCACCCAGGTGCCCCAAGGAATTCTAGGTGTCTGACCAGAAGAGCACAGGGATGGGAAAACACTGACCCAAAGGAAAATCAGACAACTGTGGCTCGTGACCCATGTTAAATTTCCCTTCACAGGGGCATCCTTTCCGGGATTTGAAAGCACACTCACACTCAGTATGCCCAACCACAGCTTTCACAACGAGCTCTGCCACAGGCAGGCAGTCTGCCGCGGTTTAAAGGAGAGAGTTTGAGATCGGCCATTGTACTCAAAACACTGTGTTCTGGGCCGACGGAGTTTTCCGGCAGACAAATCCACGTGTTCAGAGTCTTAAACACCTACGTCACTGCCTCTGGGAACTTAAAAGATGGCTTCAGTGTACAAACACAACTGTACACACGCAATTACAATAAGTTTCTCCAAGGCGTCAACTCCTGAACTGCAGCGTGCCGAAGGACGTAAGACTTGCCATAAAAACCCAACCTGATGAGGTATGGCTCCTCAACGAACTGCTTTACATAGTCACCGCTCGTGCGAAGAGGAGTGACGGGGTCAAACAAATCATTCCTGACATCCACCACGGCGAGAGTCACTGCTGTCATTCTCTCGGGGAATTTAACTCTTGTGAAGACTGTACAACCGTCCCGCCTTGTACCTCGTTTGGGACCCTATCTCTGCTGTGCTGTCCATCACTAAAACCGTGAAGATACGGTCCAGGGCCACAGAGTCTCTGTCCTCCTCCCAGCTGCCCCGAGAACGGCGCCTACAATTGTGTGTGTGTGCGCACGCGTGTCCAAGTTAATCTAGGCCACACCTCATGTGATCTCCTTAGTGGATTTCCGGCTTTCTGGCCTCGTAATAACACAAATACCTGCAAGGGACATCACACAGAATGCGATCATAGAAGAGAATCTCTTTCTTCCCGTTCACATCTATCGTGAGCCGAGGTATGCTGGACGCGTCGTGGTTCACCACCATGATGCAGGGGCTGCTCAGCCTTTTGGCCTGATGCACGAGCAGATAGCAACGCTTGTTGTCCACATCATTCGCAATGACAAACCCCTCTGAGAACATGAAATGATAGCGTCAGGCGAAATGTAGCACCCGCAGGATAATTTTCTACAATGCTCAACCTCCTGGTTGGCCGGTGAGAAGAAGCAATCCACCAAAACGTAACACCCAAGCTTAAGATCTGCCAGAATTATCTGAGCAGCCCAAAACGGTGGCTCAGCGTAGATTTTTACAGTCACCTAGGATTCCCAAACCGCAAGATTTATTTTTCCGATTATTCAACAACTATTCATTTCGTACCAGTTATCATGCCAAAAGCATCTTTTCCGTTATCTTCACTAACAACTAAAATGGAGGCTGAGGGGAGAGACAAAGCTGTAGAAAACAAAAGAATCACCCGACAAGTGTTCAAAATACTGCACCTGTATGCTGGGTCCCCACTCCAGACCCTGTGAATCGGAAGCCCTTTTAGCAAAGCGATTAGTCAGAGAAGAGAACGCCTAGGACAAAGCTAAGCAAGCAGGCCCACTAGAACAGAGCGGGAGCAGGGGCACGAAAGGGGAAGGCCGGGAGGGAGGGACGTAAAACGGCACGAGAGTAGCGACAGCATTCCTCAGCCGCGGGGAAGGAGCCCCAGCAACGCTACAACGGCCTGAGCACTCCGAGGGCTCAGAACAGCCACGAGTCCGGGCCTGACGCCCACGTGACGCGCGAGGGCTAACACTGTCACCTATGCCGCAGGGGGGGCGGGAAGCTCGGGCAGCTGATGGCGGCTCCTAACAGCTCTACAGCCTCTCGTGCGGCCGGGGAGTCATCACAAAACCCACCGAAACAAAAACCCAACGTGATAATGTTACCACCGGAAACTCAAACTGCAATCTACCTACTACTGAGTTAATGGAGAAACGCCACCTGCTTTCACAGAGGACACACAGAATTCTCAAGTGAAGCCACCGTCCCACCCCCACATATGAGCACGGTGGCTTGGGAACTGGTCACAGTGGCGTGCAAAATGTTTCAGAGACAGAAAGCCATCAGCTTGTCACAGGAGGCTTCAGGACCCCACCCACAAGTGACGTCACCACTCTACCTCACCTACCCCAGCACAGGAGCACACTGACCCTCTGGGGCAGCCCAGCGCGTACCTGGGAAAGGGACGTTCATGTCGGCGTGTAACATCTCAATGAGCTGTGTGGTCTTTGATCCGGGCGCTGCACACATATCTAAGATCTATGAAAAAGCAAGAAATGGCTGACGTCTTTAAGATATCAAATACTCTACACTCATTTTAAAACAATCTTATGAGTCATTCTAGTATTTTAATTTCTAAGATCTAAATACGTTTCTTTATAGAATGAATCTACAATGTGATATACTGAACCTCCGGGGATCACAGGCACAGAACGGCACTAGAAACCAGTGGGAGCAATAAATTCAGGGGTGAACGGACAAGGCCACAAAGTGCAAGCAGCGCTTCTGTTGACAGCCTGCTAAGGGACAGAACTACCCGGCCTCAAATCTCCGCCTGGCCCCTTCTGGCCCCGGGACCCTGAGCTAATTGCTTCGGTTTTCCTTTGCCTCCTTCCCCTCATCTGGAAAAACAGGACAGTGACAGCATCTACCCTGACAGGGACGTGCAGATAACAAAATGAATTAATCCACAAGAAGAGCGCAGAGCAGCGCTTGGCCTGTAACAAGTTCTCAGTACGTGCCCATTACGATCTTAAAGCTGATGGACTCAGTCAAGGCCACTGAAGATAAACAGTGCAGTAAGTAAATGAGGAAGCAAATCTTAAAACAGGAGAAAAGTTATGGGTTGTAAATTTTAAATATGACAAAAATGCAAAAACAGAACCTGAAACAAAATACACAGCATTCTCTATCAAAAGTAAACGGGAAAAATCCAAAGATTATACGAAGAAAAAAAAAGCGTCAATAAACAAAGGCGCTTTCTATCTAATCCACAATACCTTATGGTGAGGGTGAGCATTAAGTAACAGCGGTGGAATCATGCTAACGGCTTCTTGACGACTGATATTTCCCTTAGAAAATTAAAAAAAAAAAATCAGAATGTTTAAAAAGGCAGAAAAATTTCAATATTGGGCATTATTTCATACGTAACAGAATAAGACCATTTATTCACCATACGTGAAACGAAACAGCTAATACTATCACACAGCACATGATATGATTAGGACGTATTTTCATACTAGTGGGTAAATGGTTACTATTTCAAGGCCAAAGAAGGACCGTTTATGGCAAAACTTACCGTTAGGACATCAGAAAGGCAGGTGTAATACCCAATTTTATAAAGAACGAGGATTTAAGCTGACATGGTCCCAACGTGCCATCAAGAATGGAAGCTGGGGGTAGCAACTCTCAAAGGTGGACAATGGCCCTAAGGCACCGGCAGCAACAGAGAGAGCGATCCCTGCGAGCACAGGACAGAGAGCCACCCAGCAGGGCCTTCCCTCTCAGCTAAACCTGTACCTTCCATTTTAGTCCTCATCTGGTTTTAGGAACAGCCCGTGTCTGCTTTCTACTCCTGAGAACTGCCCCTCAAAAAGACGGACACACCGACCGGCGCTCCCATCTCCCCGCCTCGAAGATACACAGGATCTACCATTCTCACGACACCAAAGGTCCTCTAGGTCTTTGCTGGTGGCTCAGGGGACCTGTGACGACCCCTCCACGTTCGGACAAACGTTCACGATGGAGTCCAGCACTCGCCTCAATCACCACTCTATTTTAACAGCCTTAAGACTGAACGCCTCGAAGATAACAGTACTTTAAGAAGCAGTGAAGCTTCGGCTGCCGGGAGACTTCGGCTCCATTACAACCTGGGTCTTCTGTACCGGAACAGCCATCCAGGCAGCCTTCACTTACCCCACACTTAGCATCTGTCCGAACCTGAATACAGCCTCACATCCGAACCCGATCTTCTGGCCAGCAAGGGGTCTCTGAAGACGATCTGACTCCCCATTGACTCTCAAGACACGCGGACTCCTGGCTCCAGGTTATACGTACGATACTGATAAGCCTGCCCTGTCCTCATCCAAGTCTTCGTTCAAAGCATCGGAGTAGTATGGGGACACACAGTCCCCGACCAGACAGCCTGGCAGGCAGTCACTTCTTCCATACACGTTTGGAAGCGGCTCGCGGGCAGCTTTGAATACCCCAGCACAATCTCACCCTACGGACTCCCGGCCCAAAATCCATACTGGGTCCCTACAGTCCGTATACGCCACCCACACTCGACACCCACCTCCCCACAAACCCTCTGCTCTGCTGACGTTCACACTGGAACTGTTCTGAGTTTCTCCTCACCTGACATTCCACCTAGGTCGAAAGTAGAGCCAGAAGGTCCCTGCTTGTACCCACGCAAGGAAAGAGCCAAGAATGTGGCAGCACCTGTTTTTTTCCCTTACGGGGGTGGGGGGAAAGCCTGGCCAACCCAAGCCTGGGCAGCGGGTTACCTCCGCGGACAGAGTGCCAGGGTGGCAGTTAAGAGCTGCAGGTGGAGCAGAGGTCAGGACTGGGCAAGGTGAAGAGCTTCTAGACTGATCACGGCTTCAAGGGGAGACACGTGGGAAGCACAGGGGTCCTGCCAGTGTTCCCAGAAGCTCAGAATGAACAAAATGAAACGTCATCTGGGGAAACACAGAGGGTTTCTTGGCTAGAGAAAGCAGACTAGAGGGCAGGAAGGGGGAACCCTGGTTTCAAACAGGAGAGTAACGATTCCCAAAGACCAAGATGGAAGCAGCTCGTCTTACAACAGCCAAACCCAGGGGTGTCTGTTTAATCACGTGGGGCAGGAGGGGCACAGCTACTTTGGGAGAGGAGGTCTGATGCTGAGGGTGAGTCCACACACTGACCCACAATCGAGAGACTCGGGATGGCAAAGAGACAGGGCGAGGGCACGGTATCACACAGGAGAACCTGAGTCGTCAAATTCAGGTCCTGTTTTTTGGGGCAAAGGTGGGGTACAGACAGGAGCAAGGAAGGAACAGAGATGATACACCGAGAGCAGACCGACAGCTGTCTCCAGAAGGACACCTTACTGCGCGGAGGGCCGTGCTCCGTCCGCTTTGGTGGCAGCCAAAACCCCAGAGAGGCAGGAAGACAGGACGCCCAGCGGACAAGCGTCCCTGACGTCCTCCCTAACATCCTCCCTACGTTCCACTGGGACACGAGCCAAACCAGGGAGCAGCTGTGTGGATCACTGGAAACGACTGGCGACAAACACGCTTTTCCGTGTGCCCCATCTACCTCACCGCTCCCAGGAACGCGTACGGAGAAAACATACCCGTGACAGTCACGTGCGGCTAAGGCTTTAAGGAAACCAACAGATGTAAAGAAATCTACTCACAGATTCAGTTTCGCTAACCAGGAACTGGTGAAACTTTTCCAACTGTGGAGACTTTCTCAAGATTTTTCGACTTAAGTTTGTGTGCCAGGCCAGTTCTTCTGGATACCTGACCAAACAAAAAGAAGGAAAAGCAAGCGTTTACCGCTTAAATCTATCAAAGTGCTCTCTTGACAACCCCTTGCTCACACAGATCCTGCAACCAGAGACACCCAATTCTGCTCGGTTCCTCACTTCGGTGGTCTTCGCAGGCCGCCAGCGAGCACGGCACGGGGCCCCCTAGGCCATAGGGAGCCCGGCTGTAACCTTATCATGGCCCAGGCAGGAACAGCAGAGCTGACCGTTTTGAGAGAGACGTGTACAACATCACCATGGACCCACGATGACGAACGTGCAAGAGAAAATGACAAAGAGCTGCTCTGCTCTCCGCCGCTGATGGTAACGACGGTAGAGAGGCTGTCGGAAGAGACGTAACGAATTGAAGAAACGCACATCACACCGTCAAACAATGCAGTCGAAGACCCATCAGAAGGCCTGGCGAACATGTAATTGCAACCTTTCCCGCTGTATCTCTCACCACGTCTAAAACAAAACAGCCCGATAACGTACTCAACTGTCTTACACACCAGAAAACCTTAGCGCCACCGTGTTGACTAGCACGGCCAGGCTGTTATTTACACACACCCGAGAATGAAGAAACTTCTCCTGCCGTTTCCATACACGCGTTTAAACTTTCTGTGATGATGACATCGCTGATTAATAGGTCTCTTTTTTAACATTTATTTTTTAGCGCGCGCGCGCGCGCGAGAGAGAGAGACACCGTGTGTGTGCATGCAATCGGGGGAGGGACAGAGAGAAGGAGATATAGAATCCAAAGCAGACTCCAGGCTCTGAGCTGTCAGCACAGGGCCCAACGTGGGGCTTGAACCCACAAACCGTGAGATCACGACCTGAGCCGCAGTCAGACGCTTAACCGACTGGGCCATCCAGGCGCCCCAGGACACAGACCTCTTCAAACGTGGCTCAGCCCTGATCACTGAGCTCCAGCGGCTCCAGGAGGCACACTGCTGTGACACAGAGCCTTGCTCCAAGGACCCAGGCTCAAGCTATGCACAACATGGTACTCGGTGGTCTCACTGCGGTCTTAGTACTTACAGCTCAGTCTCAAGGGAACAACCAGCTCAATTTAACAATGCAGGATGACAATATTTCCACGTGTCAGTTGCAGCTAAGGTGACAGCCATGAAAGTGAAATGAGAACACTGGCAAAACAATACATCTGACTCCCATGAAGCAGAGTGATTACTTGAAAGAAACTCAGGCCTTGAGATTTTAACACATGACCCAACTGTCAGATTACGGGACGTGTCTTGAGAAGTACTTTCCACCAGGTAATAGATTAAACTGGCTGAATCTCTCTGTGGCCACCCCCCAAGTGTCTCAGCACCTTGTCTCTATTTCCTATGCCTGCTTCCTTCTTCAGTATTTAACCTGCTTCAAAAATCTAAAACCAAAACACAATCATACTTACTCGGCAATTAAAGCGTTTAGTCTGAACACTTCCCTTTGGCCTCCTTGGAGGTGAAGCGCGGAACACATTCAAATGTGCCTTCCCCTGCAGGGTCTGCAAAATCTGCTGTTTCAACGAACCTTTCCAAGACTGGAGAGCCAGACACTTCGTTTTGTATAATTCCTTGCAATCCTGAACTGCCTGCTATCAGAGACAGTGAATTTTGCAAGGGACTGCCGTAGCAAATCACCAACACATCATAAATTTGAATGCCACATGCCATAATTATTCGTCAATAGCTGAATTTTCATTTTCAAATATAGGTCAACAGTCCAGATAGAGCCAGAGCAAACATTTCCTTACGTGCCTTTTAGACTGAATTTCCAATAGTTAAAAAACGTTAAGTTTATTAAGGTCAAAATTCTTCTCCAAGTGGTTAAGGTCGTGAAAGCTACTAATGTCACAAAAAAAATACATAAGGGGCACCAGAGTGGCTCAGTCGGTTAAGCGTCTGACTTCGGCTCAGGTCATGATCTCACAGTTCATGGGTTCAAGCCCTGCATCCGGCTCTATGCTGACAGCTTGGACCCTGGAGCTGCTTTGGATTCTCTGTCTCCCTCTCTTTCTGCAACCTCTCCCGCACACTATCAAAAACAAATAAAACCATTAAAAAAAAAAAAAAACCTCTGTAGATTTTAACATCAAATAAAACATCTTTAAAGAACTAATTAGTTTTCAGTTAACGCAATTTGACTGTAACTCCTCAGTCTTTAAAGTCCTGTTTGGAAATTTGTTGTGTCTTCTGATAAAGTAAAAGCACCACTGTCATCTTTATGCCTCGTGAATTCTTACAGGGGAAAAGTAACATTTATGAGAAGTCATCTTCAATCCAGACACTGAAAAGGACACAAACAGAATGACAATAAGGTGTATTCTCAACAACTGATCATCAAAAAGAGGCTTTTATAAAAATACTTTGGGATAATTCCTTACAGTTCTGAGTCTACAAAAAGGTAAAAAAGAAATCAGTCTGAGCTATGCGTCCTATACTTAATATTCCTTCAAGAAAAACATGGTTCCCTTGGGGTGCCTGGTGGTTCAGTTGGTCAAGCGTCCCGACTCTTGGGTTTTGGCTCAGGTCACGATCTCATGGTTTGTGAGTCCAAACCCTAAGTTGGGCTCTGCGCTGACGGTGTGGAGCCTGCTTGGGATTCTCTCCCTCCCTCTCTCTCTGACCCTCCTGTGTCTCTTTCTCTCTCAAATAAATTTGTTAATAAATCATTTAAAATATCATGGCTCCCCGGGGCACCTGGGTGGCTCAGTTGGTCGGGCGTCCGACTTCAGCTCAGGTCATGATCTCGTGGTCCATGACTTCGAGCCCTGCATTGGGCTCTGTGCTGACAGCTCAGAGCCTGGAGCCTACTTCCGACTCTGTGTCTCCCTCTCTCTGACCCTCCCCTGCTCACTCTGTCTCACTCTTTCTCTCAAAAATAAATAAACATTAAAAAAAAATTTTTAATAAAAAAAAATAAAAAATATCATGACTCCCCAAAACGCTTTCCTAAATTTAATTCTACCATGTACCAAAAAATTTAGACTATTTTACGACTTATTTGTTTTTTGAACCATACAGAAAACCACCAGAAGTGTCTTCTTTGCTTGCTTGCTGAGAGATCTATGGGTAGCCTACACCTGACGAGTGACTGTGACTGAACGTTTGTACAGTACAACTTGTCATGTAACTGTCACAGATCATGGAAAAGCTGACCATTAGGAACCCAAATAGGGCAGTATTTGAGTTGTTTACACCCTTTAGCTTGTGCTCAGATGAAAGTGGAGAATGACTGGTAGTTACTAGAGTCACTCCCGTTCATCCTTCAACCAAACAACCCACAGGGCCTTTCTCAGATGTTGGAGAACTGCCTTTTCAGGTACCCATCGCCATTCTTCACCAATCAAGATGGAAAAGTGTCTGTCAAATGTTAAAAGGGCAGGGCGACTGGGGCGGCTCAGGACACGATCTCATGGTCTGTGAGTTCGAGCCTCGCATCGGGCTCTGTGCTGAGAGCTCAGAACCTGGGATCCTGTTTCGGATTCTGTGTCTCCCTCTCTGCTCCACTTCTGTTTGCACTCTGTCTCTCAAAAATGAATACACATTAAAAAAAAATGTTAAAAGGGCTAATCAAACAAAATTTTAACTGTAGTTTCCAGTGAACGATAAAAATAGCAAGACTAATTCTCATAGATCTTTTGGAACCTGCAGAAGAGAAGTCCCACAATGACCCACCCAGAAGCACTTCTTCCCTTACAGGATGCACGCTTTTCAGCTCCTCCTACGGGCCAGACTTGCTCTTCCAAAAAACTACATTTCTAAATATAAGGCTGAAGGAACAAATGTTTTCAGGTGATTATGTGAAGCAGTCAACACATGCAGAACTATTAGAAACGTACACAAACACAACCTTAAACCCACTTCTGAAAATATCAGATGGCCCCTGCTACAAACACCAGTAACATCAGTCCAATCTCCAAACCAAGGCACTGGGGGGAGTTAAGTCAGTAACCTTGTTACTAAGACAGCAGAGGAAGCTGGATTATGCGAAGGCGAGGTGACCTAGCAATGTCACAGGTACGGCAGTTGGAAAAACATTCCTTTTCTAATGACCTCAGTACAGGGGTCCATGCATCTAGTAACCACTCAAGTCATTTCCTGCGTTAGAACATTTGAGCTTTTAAAATCTTCGTACAAAATCCATCATGGTAACCGTAGATTTATTTTCATATCCAAGAAGTGCATTCTATAATGGTGTATCTGCTCTTGAGCTTGGCTGAATGCAGACTTAAACGTTTGGCCAGTCTGCATTCACTCCAACTGTGTGTGCTGCACACATCTGTGATATGGCCCCTGGAAAGCCCGTATGACCCCTGGAAGAGAAAATTCAGCTTTTTACAGCAATCATTTAAAATCATCGCTTTGGGAGGACTCACAATGCCTCAAAGTTGATAATCCGAAATGTGGAACTCTAACAATTCAATGACTTTTATGTTTACAGATTACCCTGGGCTTGGCGCCTCTGGAGTCTGTGCGTGAATACTCCAGGCGCCTTCCAAGACTTTTGGGACTGCCTTCACTTCACTGAGACCTGAACTAGGCCATGATGAGCAAATAATCCACAGGATACTTCCAGGGCAAGTAAAGAAAGGGTCAGCACGGAGGGCAGGAGTCCCCACCAGCGCTGGACACAGTGGAAATCCACAATCAGCTGGACTGGTCCGTGGCGACCCTGGTCAGGTGGACTGTATCCTTCTGCTGAAGGTAGAAACCACACAGCAGCAGTTCTGACGTGAGAAAACAAGGGGTGCAGGTGAAAATAGGTACAAGTGTCCATCATGGAAGGACAGAGGCTGATGCACTTGGAAAAATTAACTGAACTGAATGACTCCGGGACAGCTGCAAATCACATGTGAAAAGCTATATACTCCAGTATAAAGTAACACAGATAAAAAGTACCGCGTAAAAAGAACACGAGGGTGTCTATAAAGTACATTCAGATTCTCACACGCTCCTAACAAACATGTTGCCCAGAAAACACGCTGCCAAACGACAAAGACTAAAATCCCAAAGAAACATCCAACAGGATGAAGACTTGTTTTACCTACCAACTCAGGGGCTGGGGAACTTCAACTTTCTGACCGTCCACCTCCAGGTCCTCCAGTTCCTTGAAATACTTGTTCTTTAAGCAATGGAGAATCTCTTTTGCATGGCTATTAAAAAAAAAAAAAAAAAAAAAAAAGTAAGTTTCAAACCCATCGGAAAGACTACTATGAATGAATCTAAGATGACGAGTGTTTTATTTAAAACAAAACCATCTTAGCGCCGAACGAAGACATTCTTGCATCCTGCCCTTTTCCTCTTCCTTCAGAGTTTAAACAATCCGCGCTGCTCCTTGGCTAACCGATAAGCTAAAGGGACGACTACCTGCATTCCTTCCCTCCTAAACATTCCCACAGGTTCTCATTTGCTTGCAACTCCTCGCGGAAAGATGCAACGGACAGAGACGCGGGGTTTCTCAGGAACTCTGGAACGCCACTAACGTTCACGCGTTGCAAAGGGGGAGGCGTCCTCAGCTCACGAATCCCTCTCGGATCGCACTTTCACGTCTGATCCTAGCCTCCCACCTTGCAACACCTCCTCGGCCTGTTCCGTCCGACCCTCGTGCTCCCTCCTCCGTGCTATGTTTGCAGACCCTCGGGTCCACAGCGCCGACGAGCAGCAGCTCTCCAGCACCGCAGCACTTATCGG